TGAAAAAAAAGTGTAAAACTCGTGCTTCGATCAATTTAGAACTCATAAAATGTACAAGACATCTCGTTGAGACCAGTCGCTGGTGTACAGAGCTACCAACCCTCTTGTATTGGTTTGCAGGGTTTTGATTTGATTGGTTACCGGATTTTATCATAAGCTGAAATTGGTTAGAGAATCATCTGAACGCCTTGAAGTACTGAACAGCTGTTTCGTTCTAGTTTGGGACTCTTCATCAGTACGCACCCACCTGGGTTTCGACCCCGGATCTACGAGTTCGCCTTGTAACCAGAAGGTCCTGAGTTCGAATGCCGACGCGTGCGTATTGATGAAGAGTCCCTAGCACTCGGACGAAACAGCTCTCCAGTACTCCTGGGTCTTACAATGGTTTTCTCTTCGAAGTAGGATTATCTTGAACTAGTTATGATTTATCAGACAATTTAACTGTAAAAACCTGTGAACTTTGTGCTTGTCGATATAAATCAAGTAGAGTAAGTCAAGTGGATAAAATAAATTCTTTGAAAGATTAACAATTGGTGCCACAGAGCAGCATATACAACCTAATTTGATTCCTTAAAAATTCTTCTATATTTACGTTACATCCTTCGTTGTTCTATTGTTTGTAATATTTTCCAAACCTACTCACTTTTTTATAGGATACAGACTCTGTAAGTTTTAGTAACCAGTCAATTGGATTTATGTGGTTATAGGTGACTTTTTAACTAACCAGTTGATTCTTAACCGTTGAGTGGCAATTATAAATAAATCTATTCTCATTTTACAGTCACATGCTGTGTGTATTATTGCCAATCTTTGTCAATTATTTGTGGCTTGTTGTCATCTAACATCATACACCAGTATGCTTGCGATTGTTTGCTTTCACTATTCCAACATATAACCGTTCACTAACTCACTGAATGAAACTGATTTTTCTACTTTAAAGGGAAATACACTAACATCACATGACTCGTCAGTAGTCTTTCTTGTTTTGCAATTAAAAGTGTTCTCTGAGCTGGTTGGTTTAGTTGCGAAGCTTTCGTCGTCCTTCCGGACAACATCTTCAGCGCCATATTTAGCACAAAGTGAAATGATTTAAATTTCTTCATGAGTGATGTAATTGCGTCTCCTGGTTACTATCTTTACATATGTATTGACCACTTTCTATTGACTTGGATTTTAAACTTTTTGGTCACCTGATTTACTTTTTATTAGTTGGTATATTTCATCCATATTAACGTGTTTGTTAATTGCATTTTCGTTTGAGTACCAGGCTTCTAGGAATTCTCTGGCACTTTTCGTGTTTCCTCTGTTTAAGATTTTGACATGATCCCAATCAAATTGATGGCCATAATTGTCTGTATGCATTGATACTAAAAAATACATATCATGTCTTTTCACGGCTGATTTATGTTCTTGGATTCTGATTCGAAGGGGACGCCCACTTTGGCCGATGTAATGTTTGTTGCAGTTCATACAATTTATTTTGTAGATGGTATTAATTTTATCCCCTTTTTCTGTTGGATCTTTTGGTTTGCATAATATCGAATTAAGCGATTTTACTGGTTTGTGTGCTATATCTATATATAACGGTTTCAGTACTCTGGCTGTTATTTCAGAGATATTCTTCATGTATGGTAGAATGAATTTTCTTGTGGTCTTTGATGATGGTTTCTTGTTGGTGTTTTGATTCAACTCTAAACACTTTTTGATGAAATTTTGGGGATAACCATTCTTTTTGAAGACCGTTTGTAGGTACTTTTCTTCCATTCTTTTCAACTCTTGAGTGCTACAATGTGTCTGAACTCTTCTAAACAATGTCTGTACACAGTTTCGTTTGTGAGTAACTGGATTATTGCTAGTATAGTTGAGTATTTGATCTGTGTGCGTTGATTTTCTATAAACTTGTGTCTCTAAATCTCCTGTGTTGGTTCTCCTGATTAAGACATCTAAAAATGGGATTTTGTTATCTAATTCTTCTTCTCTTGTGAATTTGATGTCTTTAAATATGTCGTTTATTAATTTATGAGTATATTCTAAATCACTTCTCTTGATTATAACAAATGTATCATCAACGTAACGTATCCAGATTTTCGGTTTAATTATAGGTAGAGCTATTAATTCTAATCTTTGCATAACGGCTTCAGCTATTAATCCTGATATGGGCGATCCCATTGGTGTTCCTTTTATTTGTTTCTTGTTGCTCTCAGGCTTACAATGAAATGATACTTTTGTGTTCAATTTGTTTATCTCAAGACTCCAGCTGCTCTTTTCTTTTTATTCCTTTACTTTCCCAGTGAAGCGTAGGGCTTCAAGCTAGAGAGCTTTCGCGTTTCCGTAGCAGTAATGTTTTATTTTTACGGGATGAGGTTGCTAGCCTCACGCCCAACATCTTCCCTCTTTATCAGTCTTATTACCGATTAAGCGAGGTCTAGGAGTGGTGCCGCGGCCGGGGATCGAACCGCGGACTACATGCGTGGTTGGCAAACACTCCACCACTAAGCTTACAGAACATCAACTGAATGTTTAGTGTGTCCTACATGGATGCTGTTATGATGAAGAAAGGTTGACTTTTTTCTCCTGCAATCGATTATCCTACTCTTGCAGCAATAACCACGATAGTAACAATGATACCTATCTGTTGTATACATTCTTCTGACTGATAAGTTATTCCTCTTCGTACAAATTTTTCTCGTTTATTGATTATTCATGCTCTTCTTATTCTGAAAATTTGTAAAACTGTAAAATCATATTTACAGTTCTTTATCTTTTTATCAAGCTCTTGAAAATTTTTTTAACAAAATACTCTAAACTGTTGATTTGTGTATGTGTGTGTGTACATCTTTGTGTGTGCGTGTGTGTGTGCGTGCGTGTGTGCTACTCTACCTTTGCCGTATTGTGTGTTTTTGTTTTCAACTAATTATGCCAATAATCGTGTGCTTTTTCGTTGTATTTCTCCTTTTTCTTTCTTACAGTGAAGAGTTTTTTTCTAATTGATAAACAGACTTCTTTCTTATTGTACGTATATATTTTATATAATTATTGGGTTGATAAGATGGTTTACATCTGTGTAACACCTAATTTTTTTCTGTATGACAGTTAGGCATAAATTGTCAGAGAATCCATGATTAACCCAACGAGAATAGTCTCTAGCGCCATGTATCTTAACAGCCTACATGGTTTTTGAATATGAGGAAATATATAATCAACAAGAAATTGAAGTTTGAAGTCACACTCTGTTGAGGAGGACAAGATATCTTGCCATATTCTCTATCTGGAAAATCAAATCTAATCCTTACAAATCAATTTCTGAAAATTAATCCTCATGCTCGCTAGTTACTTGCTACAGGACAAAGTTGCCTGTGGAGTTCTAGTGAGAAGTTATGAGCAGTGAGGTTCATCTAATAGGAAATGAGGATGGATTTTCCACCGATGACATTGGCTGGTGCCAGTTGCACTAAAATCACGAATTGTTAGAAGTTAGAAATCATGGGCTGGCCATTAAATCGGGTCCCAGTGGTTGAATGGTATACGAGCTTACCTCGAAACTGGAAATAGCTCCTGCGTTCAAACCCCGCCCTCCGGTGATGGGTACGAATTCATGAGGAGTCCCAAACTAGGGTGACGAAACAACTATCCAATACTTCTAGGTCTCCCGATGGTTCTCTAACCGATGTCAGGTCATAATGAAATCCTGTAATTTGATTAAGTTTGCCAAATTATTCCATTCACGTAATTTTAGAGTTCACATTACCCTGATTTAACTGGGCCACCGACAATTATACATCTCATCCAACAACTGTACGACAATGCTGCATGCCAAGTAATCCACAACGGGAAACTTACGGAATCCTTCGAAGTGAGGACAGGAGTAAGACAAGCTGGCTGCCTACTATCGCCAATGATTTTCCTGATTGCAGTAGATTGGATAATGCGATAAACAGTGGGCAATGAGGAAACAGGCATAAAATGGACTCACACAAAAAACTTGGAGGATCTGGACTTCGCCGATGATGTATGTCTGATTTCCAACAAACTGGAAGATATGCAAGCGAAAAGCAACAAGTTAGCAGAAGCATCCAGAGAAGATAGGATTTCAGGTGAACATAGAGAAAACAGAGGTGATGAAGATTCCTGGGCAACACCACCAACAGCAACAACAACAGACAACAATCAGCATAAATGGAAGGAACCTGAAAGAAACAACCTCTTTTACCTACCTGGGAAGCATCATCTCAACTACAGGCGGAACTGACGAGGATATCAAAGCAAGAATCGGAAAAGCAAGACAAGCTTTCACTACTCTCAAGTCTGTGTGGAGGTCAACAGCACTCAGCATCAAAAATGAGATCCGGATTTTCAACTCCAATGTGAAGTCAGTGCTACTTAACAAACGGATCAGAGACTTGGTCAGCGCGTCATAAAGAGCATCTCAAACAAACTACAGACCTTCATTAACAGTTGTCTTCGCTCAATAAACTCAAGATCAGATGGCCGGCCAGAAAAGATCAGCAACAGGGATCTCTGGGAGCGAACCAACCCAGCAGGAACCGATTGTGAAACAAATAGGCAGGAAGAAATGGAGATGGATTGGCTGGCCATACTCTGAGGAAACAATTCATCAAGTGACATCACTAGACAAGCCATTGCTCGAGTGGAAACCGAAAGGGAAGCGGCGAGTTGGTCGTCAGTGCAAGGTTGACTTGGAGGAGGTCATGTGAAGAGGAGATGAAAACGTGTGGGCAGACTTGGAGACAGGTGAAGACTCTAGCAGAGAACCGAACGCAATGGAGACGCGTGGCTGAAGCCCTATGTTCCTCTAGGAATTAAAGGATATAATAATGATATAATAATGAGTAGTTCTCAGGCTAACTTATACATCTCGTAATACCTTTGCGAAGTATGCAATATTTAGAGAGAGAAAACGCGATTGTTTTGACTTTTGATTTTGTATATTAATTGATTACAATGCTTAATGCTCTTCCTACTTGTTATGTTTTACTTAGGATAAGAAATTGGTCGATAATTTTGTGAAACATGCTACCACACATAATCGAGTAAGCTCATTCGTCATCATTATACTATTATTATTATTATTAGATAAATGTTCAATTTATTTGGTATAATTTTAACTGAATTTTTGTTTTCATAGTTTAGTATTCCGTGAATGAAATGAATCTTTTTTTTTAAACTATTACTTCGCTGTCAATCTGGAGAGTATTTTCAAACTAAAATTCACATTTAATTGGTGGATGGTGACTAGCAGTGGAATCCAGGATGCGCATTTCGTCCTATTTGGGACTCGTCATCTGGATGTACCTGCATTTCTCAGTGAGTGATGATGTTCCCACCGAGACTGGAACCCAGTGCCCATAGTTTCAAACGCCAAAGCGTTATCCACTAGACCACTTGGGCCACTAGAGCCACCTCTTGTGCAACGGGCCATATTGATTTAATTGAATTTTAGATTTTCCCGTCGATTGATTGGACCGAAGTGCTCGGTCTCAGGTTGCTTTGGCGTTTGAAAACAACCTGAGACCGAGCACTTCGGTCCAATCAATCGACGGGAAAATCTAAAATTCAATTAAAATTCACATTTATTCAATATGGATTTATTTTCTAATAAGCTTAAATGCCATTTATGAGTAAACATTTCAAATACCTCAGGTAGATTTCTACGCTACACAATTCACAGGATATATATTTCGTTAGGGATATAAATGTAATTGCTTGTTTGAGCAGGTCTGGATGAATCACACGTAATTAAACCTGTAAAAATCGATTGCGCATACCTCAAGTCTTCAGGAAATGGAGGTATTCAAGTTACAGAAAATTTATCAGCTAAACTGTATGTGAAATGTTCCCTCTTTCCATTGCTGTGTAGTTTGACAATAAGGCAATAATTGCTTAGATATTTGACTCAAAAGACCTGTAAATCATCGTCATCGACTTATTATTATTATTACTATTATTGTTCCCTTGGGTTCCTAGTGGAACATAGGGCTTCAACTGCACGTCTCCACTTGATTCTGTCTTCTGCTGTACTTTTCACTTGCATCCATGTTACTCCATACTGTTTCAACTCCTCTTCACACGATCTCCTCCATGTCACCCTTGGACGTCCCACTCGCCGCTTCCCTTTCGGGTTACACTCGAGCTATGGCCTGACGCGCGATGTCACCCAGCGGCCTCCTTAGCGAGTGTCCAATCCATCTCCATTTTCTCCTGCATATTTGTTGAGCGATTGGTTCTTGTTTTGTTTGTTCCCATAGTTTCTTGTTGGTGATTCTTTCCGGCCATCTGATCTTCAGTATAGAGCGAAGACAGTTGTTGATAAAGGTCTGCAACAGGCTGTTGGAAATATTCTTTGTGACCCGCCGCCAAGTTTCTGATCCGTATAGAAGAACTGACTTGACGTTTGTATTGAAAATCCGAATTTTGTTGTTGATGCAGGCTGAGTGACGAAGATTTCCAGATTGGTTTCAGGTTGATGAATGTGTTTCTCGCCTTCCCGATTCTCGATTTGACATCCTCGTCCGTTCCTCCTGTAGTTGAGACGATGCTCCCTAGATAAGTGAAGGAAGTAACCTCTTTCAAATCCCTCCCGTTGATGGTGATTGGCGCTGGATGTTGCCGCTGCTGTTGTTGTTGTTGGTTGGTTATTTTCATAACCTCCGTCTTGTCTATGTTCACCTGGAGTCCTGTCTTTGCTGCCAGCCTCTTCGACCAGTTTGTCGGTTTTCGCTTGTAAGTCTTCGATTTTGTGTGACATCAAACATAAATCATCCGCAAAATCCAGGTCTTCTAGGTTCTTCACGTCGGTCCAGGATATCCCTGTCTTCTCGTTTTCCACTGTCTGACGCATAATCCAGTCCATCACAATTAGGAATATCATTGGTGATAATAAGCACCCTTGTCTGACTCCTGTGTTTACTCCAAACGCCTCACTGAGTTTTCCGTTGTGGATCACTTGACATGTGCCGTTGTCGTACAGCTGTTGAATAAGGTTGATGAATATTTGGGGTACGCTGTATTACTCGAGTAGTTTCCAAATTACTTCGCGGTCAACGCTGTTGAAGGCCTTCTCAAAGTCTATAATGTTGAGGTAGATGTTTGATTGCCATTCCATGCTTTGTTCTGTGATGATGATGCGTAGAGTTGCAATTTGGTCAGAACATGATTTGCCTTCCCTGAATCCAGCTTGTTCTGGTCGGAGTTCTGTATCCAGTGCGTCTTTTATTCTCTCCAGGATGATGCGACTCAGAATTTTACTTGGCGTCGACAGGAGCATGATTCCTCACCAGTTCTTATAGAGTCCTAGGTCGCTTATCTTTGATAGTTTCACGAGGTAATTTTTCCTCCAGTCAGTAGGCACCTTTCCGGACTTTTTGCAATAATGGAGTCAGCATATCTGCTGTCGTCTCTGGGTCCGCTTTCAGTGCTTCCGGGGGTATTCCATCTGGTCCAGCTGCTTTTCCAGCTTTCAGAAGCTTGACTGCATTCAAGACTTCAGCTTTCGTTGGAGGATTGGTGTCAACTTGCAGTTGTGTGCGTGCTGTTGTTGGTATTTCTGGACGGGTTGTAGGTGGTGGTCGGTTCAAGAGTCCTTTGAGGTGGTCCGCCCATTGTTTAATCTGTCTTTCCTCTTTGTTAATTGGGTTCCCTTGGCTGTCTTTTATAGGTTTCACTTGTGTTGATCTCTTCCCGGATAGAGACTTGGTTATCTGATATAGTGTCCTTAGGTCCCTTTTGCCTGCTGCCTTCTCAGCTTCAGTAGCCAGGTTGTCGTAGAATTGTCTTTTGTCCTTCCTGGCACTCTTCTTGACTTCTTTGTCCAGTGCTGTGTAAGTTGAGTTCAGCGTCTCTTTCTCTTGTCCGTCTTTGCATTGAATCATTTTATCTTTCACCATTCTCCTCTCCTCTATTAGTTTCCAAGTGTCCGTTGAGAGCCATTCCTTGTCTTGTTTCTTCTTTCTTCCTAAAACCGTTGAACACGTTTCGTTGAAAATCACCTTCAGTGACTTATTTTACAACATATTAGATGGTTGGAGGCAGTTGGCCATAGGAAACCTTCAACTTTGGGTTTCCTGCTGGTTGGCAATCACCAGTCAGCAAGGTATATCTGTGCAACCTTGAAGGACGTCTTGACTCTTCTGAGATTTGAACCCGTGTCATCACTTGAGTGCTAACTGGGTCAGATACCTTACCACTGAGCTATTCGGGCTTGCCATTGACCTCCTGGACAGTTTGATCGAACACTAATTAGTGTAATGTGTCATAGTGTTAACACTAGCGCAACACCGAGGTGTAAGACTTTCTATTGATTGCCTTCAACCATGCAATATCAACAATGCAAAGTGAATCGTGATGGTGAGCCACCTAGTGGCATGGTGGCCACGTTGCGAACTCGACTGATAGAATTCAGTCTGCACCAAACGGTGGACACTAGTTACTGACAAGTGTTCAATCATAAGTTATATATTTGTAATATGATTAAATTAGTTATTTGTGTAAAACAAGGGATGTTAAATACCACTTGTTTTTGTCTATTTATGTATCTACCCGTTATGAAAGACTATATTTGTCGACTGATATATTTAGGCTAGTGCCCTCCGCTCTACACATTGCTCCTGGTTCATATCTGTAGAGGAAACATGAATCTACTCAACATTTCAACTACATCTTTCTGATGACATGATAATGACACCAAACAAGACTGCTAAACTCTGACAACAAAATAAGTTGTATCATTTAAAGTTGCCACACTTCATGAAAGTGAACATAAAATTAGAAAAAGAAATGTAATGATGAAAGCACAAGGGAACAAGACTTAAGGAAGGAAGTGTAATTAATAATAAGAATCCATTGAATCTGGAAGATAGCAAGGAGTAAATAGATGTTCGTCACACAGAATAACTTCAACGTGTATCAAAACAATCTCCAGCTATAGATTATTAACCTCTTGGATACCCCCCCGCATCCACTCTACTCGAACTCATGCAGCCAATCAGGTGAGAGCTTACGGTGAGTTGTCATCTCAACTGGTGACAACTAGTGGTGTCCGTCAGACGGGATGCCCACTATCCGCATTTCTGTTCAATTTCATCGTAGATATACTAATTGAATTAACCTTAACTGACTTCAGCGACTTAGGGATTGACTTGTTACCAGGGAATAATCTCGTTGACTTAGAATATGCATGTGGATGATATAATCCTTCCTCCTAGGTGAAGACGCTGACAAAATACAGCAGAGTCTTCTGAACACCTTGAGCTGAGCAGCGATCTTCGAATGTTTGGCATGCGATTTGCTCCCGCCGAATGTACAATGATGTTCCAGGACTGGACTACATTGACTAACTCGTAGCTTAGAAATAGGGAGTGAAGCGGTAGAGCACGTTGACCTCTTCACTTATTTGAGAAGTTGCATCAACCAGCCCCAACGGGTTGGTCGGTGACGAAATCTCAGAATGGATACAGAAGGCTAGTTTCGCATATGCCAGTTTACGCGGTCTCTGGCGTAGACGTGATATTCGGCTATCGACCAAAGGAGGTGTGTACTGCTCAACAGACCACTCTGTCCTCCTTTATGGCCGGCTGTGAGACCTGGCCATTAGGAGTGGAAGACATGAAAAGGCTGGTAGCTGTCTTTGGTCAAAAGTGACAGCGTTCTATCTCCCGTGTGAAGTGGTATAATAAGGTGAGCAATATTGAGGTTAGGCGTCGAGTGCTAGGTAAGGCGCGGAAATCAGTAGACGAGGCTGTGAATCTACATCGATTGAGATGGTTAGGACATGTGTTACGTATGCCTAGTCATCGCCTTCCTCGACAAAGGGCAGTGCTAGCTGTCATAGGGTCAGGTTGGAGAAGAGCAAGCTAATGGTGGCCAAACCAAAACATGGCCTCGTCAGTCAATGAAATCCGCAATAGTTAGTCTAGGCCACGTAAGAAGATGTGGACTTCCTGGTTGGGGTCGTTGGGACGGTAAACACCAATAAAGGCTGTAGACAATTGGTGATATGGCTCAAAATGGTTCTCAATGACTGGCGCAGATGCATCCACTCCTTCCAACTTATAATACCCAGTAGAACTATATTGTTCTTCCATATTACTATTATTTTTGCCTCATATCTCTGTTTACTGTCTCTGTTTTGCATTTCTTTTAACTTTCTTCTTCTTCTTCTCCGGCTTTGTGTGCTGAGTGAAGTGTGGTGACTCAAACTGCTGCACATCTTTGCAAAGTTCTATGTTGGAACCAGTCAGTCTGCCATCCCGGTCAGGTAGTTCGAAAATTAACTAAAGTCACCACTCTTGTGTAAAACTGCATTAGTGTTGCATGACCTCAGAGCCCATGGGACAACTGTTTGAGGCCGGTCACACACAACCTGTTCGAATCGGTCTTTTGAGTCGCCTTCACACTAAGATCTCTATCGGCTGTGATGGATTGCTGCAGATAAGGCGGCATGTACAATTCCCGGGGTCGACCTTTTCTAACCGCTATCCGTCTCTAGAGCAGAGAGGCAGCATAGTTTGGCATGTTGGTCATTTGAGGGCGTCAGTGGCACAGTGGTTAGGACTCTCGCCGACCATGCATATGGTCTGGGGTTCGATCCTCTGCCGACGCACATCTGATATCAATGGTCGGCCTGCAAAATTTGGGCTACCGATATCACATGCTGAAAATTCCATACTTGTACCAAAAAATACGGTGTGGAATCAAGCTGTAATAAAAAAATACCTTACTTCTGTTACATCCCTATTCTTCAGCAGTGCTTTTCCGCCCCCAGACTCTCAAGATAGTATAAATAATTTTGTAAGTCAATCGAAGAGGTTGTGAATTACACCGATTGAGATCGTTAGGACATGTGTTAGAAATGTCGAACCATCGCCTTCCTTACGTGCGTCAGTGGAACAGCAGTAGAATGCTCGCCAACCACACAGGTGGTTCGGGGTCCGATTCCCGGGCGACGCACTCCTTTACCTCACCAAACCATTAATAAGACTGTTAAAGACGAAAGGTTGGGCATGAGGCAAGTCTCCAGCTTGTTCCACTGGGAACGTAAAGGAATAAAAAAATGTATATATGTGCGTGTGAATAAAACGTTTGATTGAACTCTTTTTCTTTTTTTAAGGTGTTAGAAGAAGAATACTGTTGGCGAGAAATAAAACGACGTTATAAAAAATCAAATGATTCTCGTGATCGATCACCTGTATCAAATTATAAACAATCTGAACAAGAACTTGATGCCCTTGAACGAGCGCTACGTGCAGAGGCTAAACGCAAATTAGAATTACAAGCTACACGTTCATTGCCAAGTGCTGCTGGTGGACCGAATGCTAAAGAATTTTGGCGTACATTGGCGCGTCGACATTGTGACACTGGTCGTTGGGGTCATGATGGTTGGGAAGAATTACAGAATGAAGGTCCAATACCTTTTAGACGATCTAATACTACTACTGCTGCTGCTGATAATTATGATAGTGTAAAGGTGAAGTCAGCAACTTCAGCACCCTTAACACCAAAACTACCATATCAGTATACGGCAGAAAAGGAAACAAAAGAACAAGAAGTTAAAAAGCCAAAGAAAAAAGCTAAACATAAAATATCTCATTCTAAATCAAAACGAAAACATGCTAAAAGAAAGCGTAAATCTAAATTGAAAAAGGCTAAAAAGTTGAAGAAAAAGAAGGGTAAGTCGACGAAAGCGCGTTCCCCATCTTCATCCTCGTCCTCCTCCTCCTCCTCCTCATCATCATCTACGTCTTCATCATCGTCACCATCATCATCGTCGTCGTCTTCGCGTGCCTCTTCTCCCTCTCCTTCATCAGCGTCGTCAACAACAAGTTCCAGTGGATCAGACGATGAAGTTGAATGGCAAGAATTAAAAGTGCAGCAATCCTGTCCATAGTAATTGAGAATCTTTGGGTTTTGTAATTGCAGTGCATTTTGTAATTAACTTGCAAATTTTGTATGAATGTATTTTCTTTTCAGTCTCTCTCTCGTTTAATCGTCTACTGTTGTCGTGTTGTTTTCTTCACGAGATTACTTTCTCTGTATAACCACCTTTGTTTAAGCAAGTAGTGTTGTATCCTCGAGAGAGAGAAAGAGAGAGTATCTTTCTCTGAAGAGTTTTGTGACACCGTTTTCTCTTCTTCTTCTTTTTCTGTTTTTTTTTACTTGTTTTATAACCACTACTCACATTTCTCCCCTCCAGCAGCCTGCCCCATCCGCCTTTCTCTTGTAATTTACATTTCTGTGTGTGCAAATGTCTGTATTCTGCGCTTTTCGTATTTCTATATTTTTTTGTACTGTGACACATGTTTTGAAAACTAACTGACTTGTCCAGGGGATATTTTTACTAATAATTTTTTTGATAATGATGGTGTGTGGGTGTGTGTATGTATATATAACAGGAGTAATGGTGAATGTCTTTTTGGTGATTTGTCTCTAAAGCATATTATCATTATTATTGTATCCTTTAATTCCTAGAGGAACATAGGGCTTCAGCCGTGCGTCTCCATGGCGTTCGGTTCTCTGCAGAAGTAGGGATTGAACATACTTCTTTTGTACACAGAGGTCTGGCTGACTTAAATTCATGAATGGCCAAGGCCTCCGTTGTCTTTAGAAGTTCACAACAAAGAAAACTCGGCCAACAAGTTACCATGGATTCTGTATTTTTTTTATTCCTTCACGTTCCCAGTGGAACATTGGGCTTCAAGCTAGACGCTTGAAGTTTCTGTAGCAATGTTTATTTTTACAGGATGGGGTTGCTAGCCTCATGCCTAACCTTTCCTCTTTACCAGTTTTATTTCTGGTTTAGTGGGGTAAAGGAGTGCGTCGGACGGGGATCGAACCCCGGACCATGTGCATGGTCAGCGAGCGTCCTAACCGCTGCGCCACCGACGCACGATTCAGTAGATGATCTTAAAATCTTGGTCAGGGTTAGTAGAGTAACAGAAGTCGATCAAGTGTTCTAGAATAGAGCTTCTCACACTCTTCCTTTCTCATTTGTGAAACCATGCTAGAATATGTTCTCAAATCCGTGTGGAAAGCGTTCTGTATAAAAAACCATATATATATATATATAATTGTACAGCTTGGTAATAACTTCGTTGAAAAGTCTCTTCGCTGAATATTATTGTATAGTTTAGTCATAAAGAAAATAAAAGACTATTCAACGAAGAAAATTTCCTCTATTGACGAAATCATCTTCAGGGATTATACTGTACAGTCGTATTTATATTTACCAAAAATGTATAGTAGTCCATTGTTGAGTAATAGAGCGGGGGTGACATTACGTAGTTGTAAATTACGTAGTAGTCAACATCACAAAGGAAGAACGGGCTAGAAACTTGATAAGGTTAAAATTGTTATTGGGTCATGAGAGGAAAGGTAGTTGAGTGTCCATTTAACAAGCGTGAAGAGGGTGAGAAAATGTGCAAAAGGGATATGGGAGAGTGATAATAGTGAATTATTTATTAAAGTAAAAACAAAGTAATCATTAAAAATACAAAAAATCGACAGAGAACGACTGGTGAAGAGGTTAAGACCATGGTTGAATAAGAGACTGAAGAAACATTTTCTGTATACAGAGTTCGGAGTTGTATTGACGAATGGCCAATTTCTCCGCCACACACAAATTCCGAAACCTGACACCCCTTGTACCATTTGGCCTCACCTTGTAGGTAATATTGAAAGACGACTATGGTAAAGTTGCGCAACTTGAGTTCACCAAGTGCTCAAGAGTTGAGCCAGTAAGTGTCCTGCATTGTCTTTTTGCTAGGCATGCAGGATAATGTTTAGAGGTGCATTTGGAAATTGTGCGCTTTGTGTGGCCAATATATCTAGCTCCACACGAGCAGGTGAATTTATTAAAACACATTGAAGTGGCCCAAAGTGACAGTTTATCCTTCTCACATCCATTGATCATTTGTTGGCTGTAGAAATTGATCTGTATCTCAGCCGCAAAGAAGCCTTTTCTCAGTGATCCGGATAAGCGGTTCTTCAGGATCTCAGCTGCGGTATCACTTTTAGATTCAACGTTCATAAACAGCAGTTTCTTCTGCACCGTCTGGGTTCTTTCGGGTGTCTGCTATACCTTCATGTTTTTCTCGATGAATCTTGCAAGATTTCCATTCGGACTTGTCTGAGTCGCTCAAGTTCTCCGTCGATTGTATCACTGGTATACATCCTTATTCTTGAGGATCAGATTTCTCTACTTTTCTCAAAGTGATTCAACTATGAAAATTCGTTTATTCCTGTATGTCGATTTTTGAAGAGAAAACCTTCAGATCTCCTTTTTGGCAAAACATCAAAAAAAGTAGAATTCCGAATTAATCTCTGATTCTGACATGATTTCGTCGATAAAAAATTTTCTTCACTGAATCGTCTTTCATTTTCTTTGTAGTTTAGTCGACAAAAAGCATCATGAGTTGCTTGTCTCTAATAATCCAAAATGTACAAGAAAGGAGTAACTTGCCCATTGTGACATTTTAATATATATATCAGTATTCACCAGTTACTTTGTGAATAGCATCACTCGAAATTCAACAAAAATTAAACATTTTGTTTACTCATCGCATACAGGTTTAGTCTGTCTTTTCTCTAGTAATAAAGTAATTTAGTTTTTATAGTTTGGTTTGTAAGGGTTAGTTATGTTTTTACGAGTTGATCACGGATTGATATCAGTTAGATGAAACAGCAGCTGTCCAGTACTCCCTGGTTTTCAGTGGTTCTCTAACTGATATCAATCCGTGATCAACTCGTAAAAACATAACTAACCCTTACAAACCAAACTATAGAAAATTAATCTGATGCTCGCTAGTGACTTGCTACAGGATGGAGTATCTTGGAGTTCTAGTGAGAAGTCGTGACCAGTGAGGTCCAATTAGATGTCACGTGTGGATGGATTTCCACCAACGACAATAGTTGGGATCACGCTAAATCACGGATTGGTAGAAGTTAGAATTCATGAGCTGGCCATTGGATCGGGTCCCAGTAGCTGAATGGTATTCGAGCTTGCCTTGTAACCGGAAGGTCGTGGGTTCGAATCCCAGTGGGTGCGTACTGCCGATGATTCCCAATTTAGTTTTTAGTTAATTCTGGTATCTACGAACTGCTCTACCAAACTTGATGTTATTAGACAGCGATAAGTGTTGACATATTGAAATAAATGTCATTAGGACTTACCGTAAAAAATGATTAGACTTTCAAAACACAAGCTTAAATAACCTGAGACTGATTTCATAATTCAATTTAGATATTTCGATTGTTTCAACTTAAGATTTTGGAATAAATAACTAAAGCTACGTTTCTGTCGATCGACATCAGTGCAACGCTGTCAGCAAGGCTAGTTAATCACCTGTCATGTAATTGATTCAGAAAAGTTAACAGCAAAATAGAAAAGTAACCAGATTATGACTGAAATTAATGTGATTATGGTAGGATTCGACCTAGGGCCTTGTTGATTACCGACTCTGGACTATGCATTATATTATCTGTCAAATCCTAATTTTACCTCTCACTGCAAATAATTCATCCAACTACCACATAACAATAGTTACTTCTTGAGCGGTAATCAAAATCGCAATAAACTAACCTAAAGGATGTAAGTGCGTCGGTTGTTCAAAGGTTAGAATACTTATCAGCCAGACACATGTTCCGGGCTCGATTTCTGACTGACTCATTGGTAAACCTCATCCAGTTTACCAGCGATTAGTAATCTGGTAAGAAAGGGGAGGTTAGGTCTATGGCTAGAAAGTTCACCCCGTAAAAACAACATCACCACTACTTCAGAACTTGAAGCCCTACGTTGTAATCGGAATGGAATAAGAAGGTGAGCAAGAGTCAGTCAGCCCACTAAACTGAAACTATTGAAGGTATGTGTATTCATGCAGTCAGCATCTAAAGGTGTGTTTTTTTTACCAATAACGTTTTCTACGAAATTAAATTCACATCTCACGGATACTTATGTCGATCAGTCTGTCGCCATTGGTCGCTTCTACCTTTTTGATACCCCGATGAATGCCAAGCAGTGTTATTGTAAGTGTGCTAGAGAAAAATAGCAAACATGCATCGGATAAGATATCTTCAAAACTTTTTTGAAGAACATAGTCTGTTCACTGAAAACGCTGGATTTTGTTGAAGTCTATCTTTTCAACGTTATTATTATTATAATTGTTCCCTTGGGTTCCGAGTAGGATATAGGGCTTCAACAGCACGTCTCGACTTTGTTATATTCTCTGCTCTCATGATTGCCCATAATCTCTCATCCCCTTTTCCATGTTACCCTCGGACACACCACTCGTCGTTTCCTATTCCGGTTCCTTTCGAGCAATTGTTTGGCGCACGATGTCATTCAACGGTCTACTCAACTTATGCCCAATCCATTTCCACTTTCTTCTACGTATCTGTTGTGTGATCGGCTTCCGCTCGGTTGGTTTGTTCCCAGTCAGAGTTTCTTGTTTCTTATTCTTCCCGGCCAGTCGGCCATTTGATCTTCAGTATGGAGCCAGCCAGCGAAGTGGGCAGCTGTTGATGAAAGTCTACCATAGCCTGTTGCAAATGCTTTTCGTGACGCGTTGGTCAAGTTTCTGACCCGGATAGAAAGGTCGACTTGACATCGGTGTTGAAAATGCGAATCTTGTTCCTTATGCTGGCTGAGTGTAGACGATTTCCAAATTGGTTTCAGGTTGATGAAGGCGTATCTTGCCTTGCCTTTCCGATTCTGACTGGCCAGCTTTGACATCTTCATCCGTGCAGTGTGCCTGTAGTTGAAACGGTGGTTCCTAGATAAGAGAAGGAAGTAACCCCTTTCGAATTTACTCCATTGATAGTGATTGGTCCTTGTTGCTGTTAGTCACTCGGTTGGTTATCTTTATCACCTTCATCTTCTGTATGTTCCCTTGG